TTATAAAAGCAATAGGGACTCATTTTTCAAGATGCTTAACGCAGAATGCTTAAGGTTCCTGCTTACTCCTTTGCCTGGCCTTCTCCTTCCTTGGAAGCCTAAAAAGGCAGACACTGCATTATTTTCTGAGGCTTCAAAGAAGGCATCGTAGTCCTCACGGCACTGGCTTTCACTGCAGATCTGAGGGGGCAAGGGATACCCTGTCGCAGGTTGACTGTTTTCAGGTATATTTTCTCTCATCCACTTTTGATTCTCTTCATTGGCTGCAATGTCTGTTTCTTCAAATCCTGTTTTGTTGGCTTCTAAGAAACCAAGCACATCTGGCTGTTTTTTCTTAATCGCTGTAGAGCCAGAAGATGCAATATATACACAAATCACCATCCTGGGAACAGTGGCTTGCGGTTGTTTGGATGCTGAAAACAGCTGTGGAGCAGCTGTAGCAAGGCTGGAAAGGAGCTAGGGCGCAACCAATTTTTTTTTTTCTTTGAGACAGAGTCTCATTTTGTAGTTCAGGCTCCCTTGAGTTCACTATGTAGCCCAGGCTGGTCTCAAACCTGCCTCAGTCTCCCGAATGCTGGGATTACAGGTAGGTGTCTTTTTTCATGTTATATAAAAAAAAATTTCCCTTCCTTTTCCCCTGCTTCCTTCTTTTAGCCCTTCCCTGTAAATCTTTCTTTCTGAACAGAGTATCTTTTTTCCCTGATCAATTTTATTTTATTTTATTTTATTTTTTGCAGTGCTGGGCCTCAAATCCAAAGCCTCATGAATGCTAGGTAAGTGCTTTGGTGCTGAGATATACCCTCAACCTTTTCCCCTCTACTAAGAAAAATTGTGGAAAGAAATATATAACCTAAAGTGTACCATTTTAATCACGTTCAGTGTACAGTTCAGTGGCATTAATTATATTCACAATGTTGTGCAATTATTAGCACCATTCATTCATGAATTCGACCATTCTGAGTACCTCATATAAATGGAACCATACGATATTTGTCCACTATGGGCTCAGTTGTGCTGTCTCCTCCCCCATTCATGTATTGACCCCAAACCCCTGCTAGCTCAGAATGTGACTGTATTTGGAGACAGGGCCTTTAAAGAAGTAGTCAAGGTAAAATGAGGTCATTGGGGGTGGGCCCTAACGCAGTCTGACTGGCGTCCTTATAAGAAGAGGAGATTAGAACACAGACACACACGGAGCGGGGACTGTGAGAGGACACAGGGAGAAGCTATTGGCAAGCCAAGACATAGGTCTCAGGAGAAACCCAACCCGCTGACACCTTCATCTTGGGCTGCTAGCCTCCAGAATTGAGACAATAAATTTCTCTGGCTTAAGCCACCCAGCCAATGGTGTTTTTCTTATAGTTACCCTAGGAAATGAATACATTGTCCTTTTGGGTCTGGCATATTTTACTTAGTGTAACATTTTCAGTAGCCAGGTACCAGGTTGTCCCAGGAGGCTGAGGCAGAAGGATTATCTGGAGTTTAAGGCCAGCCTACGATACAAAGCGAGTTCAAGGCCATCCTAAACTACATAGGAACCCTGTCTTCAAGCATCAAAAGCAAAACAAAATTAAAAATAAAATTTAGGGTTGATCTATGTTGTAACATGTGTTAGAATCTCGTTTCTTTCCTTTTTTTTTTTTTAAACAAGATCTTACTTTGTAGTGCAGGGTGCACATGAACTCACTATGAACTCACAGGTTGGCCTGAAACTCCCAGCAATCCTGCTTCAGCTTTCTGAGTGCTGGGATTATGTGTATGTGCCACCCTACCTGGCTCTCATTCCTTTCTATGACTGAGTATTAGTCCATTGTCTAGATAGACTATGTTTTGTGTATCCATTTTGCTGGATACCTGGGTTTTACCTCTTGGCTATTGTCAGTGGTGCTGCAAAAAATATGGGTGTGTATCTTAGTTACTTTCTTTATTGTTGGGGTAAAATGGCCAGCACCCATATCTTCAGGAAGGAGAGGTTTATTTTGGCTCAAGTTGTATAGATGGTCAGTCAATAGCTCCAGGGCAGAAGTAGCATGGTAGGGGGGCCTGGGTGGAGGGAAGCTATTCACACATGGCATGGCAGACAGGAAGCAGAGCGTGTGAAGGGAAACTCTGATGGGAGGTATATACTTCCGGGTCATGCCCACTGACCTGCCTCTTAGGGCCAGGCACCCCCTCCTGACATCACAGCTATAATGCCACATAATCCATTCACCTCCCCAAAGCCCTGCCAATGGCTGTTATGGTTTATGTCTGGATCTCTCCTCTTTGTGCACCCTTCCACCCAAGCAGCGCTGGATTTACCTTTTCCCTTCCTGCCTTCCTTTGGGCTCTGGGGGCTTGCTCTGACCCTTTAGCTTGTGCCTTTCCTGGTTTCCTCACACCTCCCCATAGCGTTAACCCTGTTTTCCTGAAGGTGTTTACTTGGGTTGCTGGAGAACTCACTCATGTGAGTAAGAACTGGATTCAGCTCTAGGCAACTAGTTGCTTTGCATCCCTGATCTTTCCTGCCAAGCAGTAAGGCTCTGTCTGCCCCTCGCTAATGTAAAGCACTGAGGAGGTGATCGTTCACTTTAGTTCTTTTTCCCTCCCATGACCGGCTGATTCCTCTTCTCTGACGGTGAGGCCTCCCCCAAGCCATGTACATGGTCAGAAGATTCCATATTTGTGTATTAGAGTTTGCCAGAGAAGCAGAGCCAGCTGTGGATTTAGAGGGAGAGACTGTGGAAGCTGGTATGTCTGAAATTTTCAGGGGATGCCAGTGGACTGGAAATGCTGGCAAGTGTTTAGGTTGTGGTTTTGAGTTTAAAAGTCAGGCTGTAGGCAAGATTTCTCTTCCTTGGGCACCCTCAGTCTGTTAATGCCTTACACTGTGTGTAGCCTGTGTACATTATAGAGTGTGCTCTGCTTTGTTCAAAATCTACTGTTTGATTGATTTCTTTGTTTGGTTGATTTTTTGAGACAGGGTCTCGCTATGTAGTTCAGGTTGGCCTTCAACTCACTATGTAGCCCAAGCTGGCCTTGAACTTGTGGCAATCCTCCTGCCTCAGCCTCCTGAGTGCTGAAATTACAGGCATGAGCCACCGTGCCCCACTGGCCTATTGTTTTAAATGTTAATACCCTCACAGTAACGTCCAGACTGTGTGACCAGATAACTGGTGTGGTAGTCCAGTTATCAGGGTCAGTAACTTGTTCTCTTCCAATGGAGGTATAGATTCATTGTAATCCTAACTAAAATCCAAGAAGACTTAATTGAATTTTTTTTCTTTTTGAGATAGTCTCACTGTGTAGTCCAGGCTGGCCTCAAGCTCACAGGACATGCCTCAGCCTCCAGAGTGCTGGGATTCCTGGCATGTGTCACAACACCCAGCACGATTTGATTAAAAAAATTGATAAGGTGTGTCAGATGTGGTGGCATCTGCCTGTGATCCCAGCACTTGGGAGGCTGAGGCAGGATGATCGCTGTGAGTTTGAGGCCAGCCTGGGCTGCATAGTGAGTTCAAAGATAGGCCTGACCTGCATAGTGAGGTCCTGTCTCAAAAAGACAATTTTAAAAAAAGAAAATCACAATATGTTTCAATTTATAGCAAAAATCTAGGCAATACAAATTAATGTGTAGTGACAACAAGCAGATCGTTGGTTGCCTAGGAAGGGGTTAGAGGGTGGGACTGTGAAGGGAGATGAGAAACATTTAGGGTGAGGAATCTCTTCATTATTTTGATTGTGCTAGTGGCTGCACGATTGAAAAACATGTCAGTGTTTCTCAGTTTCTACTTTTTAAATGTTTGTTTTGTGTTGTTTGTTAAATGTACCTCAGTAAAACAAGTGTTGAAAATGTCACTGGATGTGGTACTATACCTGTAATCTCAGCAGTCTGGCAGGCTGAGGCAGGAAGATTGCAAATTCAAGCTTGGTCTGGGTGACTTAATAGAACTTGTTTCAAAAAAAAAAAAATTAGAATAAAAAGAGGGCAGCTCAGTGCAGAGGTCTTGGGTTCAATCTCTAGTACCTTAAAAAAAAAGTACATAGGCTGGGTGTGGTGGTGCATGCCTGTAATCCCAGCACTCAGGAAGCTGAGGCAGAAGGATCATCATGAGTTTGAGTACAGCCTGGGCTACAAAATGAGTTCAAGGCCAACGTGAACTGCATAGCAAAACCCTGTGTCCAAAAAAAAGTACATAGCATATAACAAATACTCAGTTTACTTTTATTTAAATTAATTTAATACATTTATTTGTTTATTTTTGAGACAGGGTCTCACTATGTAGTTCAGGCTGACCCTGAACTCATTGTGTAGCCCAGGTTGGCCTTAAACTTGTGGCAGTCTTCCTGCCCCGGCCTCCTGAGTGCTGGGATTACAGGTGTATGCCATCAGGCCTGGGACCTAATTTACTTTTTAGTTCCTTTCCTTTATGGCTGCCTCTGCCTCTTTCCTGCACCCTGACACAATCTCCCCAGCCAGACAAGCAAGTGTCTGCTGTCCCTCAGCTTCATACAGCTGGCTTTTGGGGCCACCATGTACCCTTGGGAAGACTGCATCAAATAGCTTTGCAGAGGCTCCTAAACATTCCAGAGCCCGTGCCCGCTGGAAATGGATCTCTACTGTGCCACCTCCAACTTACATCACAGCCTCAGCCGCATCTTTCGGGTCCCCTTTCCCCCTCTGCTCAGCATTCTCTCTCTGCGGAGGCCTGGGAAGGTTAAGCTTCCAGCTGTTGACCTCAAAGTTCAGATGCTGCTTGTTTTCTGTGACTGGCTATTAGAATATGTGTCAGTGGCTATCAAATACGATCCATCTTCGTGTAGCTTCTTTCTTTAGTTGAAGGCTTGTCTAGGACCTTGACCTACCCTAGACTTCAGGTCAAATTAGCACAAGTTATGGGGACACCTGAGTTCCTAACTCCTGGACCCCAGTCCAAGGGATGCTCCACTTTATCTCCTTTACCCCCACCTCGTGACTTGCATCATGTGATCCTGGGGCTGCTGGGAATGAGGAGAGAGGATCCAGTCCTGAGCCCTGCCGTCCAGGGGCCTGGAAGCTTGGACAGTGACAGCAGCCGCCTGTTGGGGTCTGGGCTTCTTCCTCATCACGTCTGTCCAGTTGCCCTAGTGACTGTGTGACAACTCCACCCCTCCTCCCTCTGCTGCCGCCCGCACCGCCATATAAATAGAGGCTAGGAGCAGCTGGGTTCTCTTGGCAGTCACCATGAGGGCACTGCTCCTGCTCTGCTGCTTCCTGGCCTCGCTCCTGCTCTCAGGACAAGCAGGTATGCCCCTCGCATGGCTAGCTGTCCTGCGTCCTCCGTGCTCTCCCGAGGTTTTGTGCTCGCTGGGGTCGGGAGGAGGGTTGATACAATGCTTTGCTCCATGCTGGTGTCACTGTTATGACCCTTCTCCTTGGCTCTGAGCTGTGGAGAAAGAGTGAGGTGCTAGAGAGAGCTCGGGACTAGGGAGGGGGCTTTCAGGAGGGCCAGAGGAAGTGAAGAGAGGCAGGTGGGCCTGAGGCTTGGGCCAAGGTCAGAGGGAAGAGTCTGGTCAGCAGAAACTGGGAAGAGGGCCTCAAAAATCAAGCGTAGAGGAGCCTGCAAGATGGCTAAATCACAGTCCTGGAGCTGGAGGTCGTTTGGGTGACCCTCCCACCAGCGGGGGAACATGGCAGAGGCTTTGGCTATGGCTGGAGACCTGAGTTTGCATGACTGAGGACAGAGGACAGCACAGGGGACAAAGCTGGGGATTGCTTTGGGAGCCATGGGGTAGATAGAGTTTGGGGTAGGGTTGGACATGGAGCTGAGTTTGGGGTTTGGGTTGGAAACGGAATTGGACACAGAGCGCAGAGAGGAACGGGCTGTTCTGGAGGAGTGCCTTGGCAGGGGGTGCTTTCAGCAGCAAGGGGCTCGGCTCTGCGTTCTTGGGCTTTCCTTTGACATCTCAGCACTTTGTATGGCTGAGGTGGTGGCTTGGGTTGCAGCATGGAGGTTATTTATAGGCTGTGAGGGGATACCCGATCATTTTGCCACCTCTCTTGTGCCTAAGACTCCTGGGGCTGGATTCCCCTTGGGAGTGCACTGTGTAGGTGCTTTGGGATCCTCCTAAGCATCTAGGGCTCCCACTCATCTCCTGGCCAAGCCTTTAGTCTGTGCACATGGGACCGTGGGGGCCTAGAGTCCGTCTGTCGGGGCTTTGAGGCCCTGTCTCCTGACAACAGGGGGCTGCAGAGGCACAGTCCCAGGGAGGAGAGCAGGAGCCAAGCCATTCTTTTGGAAATCAGAGAGGTAAAGCGGGGGGCTCCAGCTGTTGTATGTGCTTCTGGGCCCTGCCCTTGTCTGCCCTTGAGTTAATTTGGGCCTTGCAGGCTTCAGTGACTGGAGCGGCGAGTATTCCGAGCGGCTGTCAGGTGGCTAAGTATGGAAACAGCCGTGTAATTGGATCCCAAGCCCCAAGCCACTGCCACCCTCTCCCCTCTGTAGACCCTCCTCTGCACAGCCCAGCCCCAGCTGCCCCCCGGAGGCTTCCGTATCGCAAGTCCTGGGGAGTTTTGCACCTTTTATGGACAACTTTTATTTTTCTTCCAGCTGAGGAAACTGCACATCTGAATGTTCCATGGGCCGTGCTGGGGGCCCTCGCTGTGGGAAAGGAGGCAAATGTTTTGTGCAGAGGTCCTCTGCACTGTCGCGTTCCTGGGCCCTGTGGTTTTGTCTTGCCCTGGCCTGTCCCCCATTGTGTAAGCTTCCCCCTCCCCCTTCTTCATGTTCGCCTTGTCACTGTGTCCCAGTTGTAGATTGTGCGCCTAAGAGATGGCTTCCTCCTGTGTCTACCGGGAGGTTGCAAGCCAACAGGTGACTTCGCTGCGCCCCCCCCCATGGCAGTCCTTCCTGGCGGCTGGTCTTGCCCTAGAAGTGTGTTACTGTGGTCAAAGGTCGGGTCTTTGCTCCTGACTTCTCCCGGCTCCACCGCCATGCTGTCTCCCTCCCAGTGCCCTCAGCCCTCGCCTGGGTGGCAGATGCTCTTGCTGAGTCTTCCTTGCCCACTTCTGGGGGTGGGGACCCTGAGGCTCTGTCCTTCCTTCTTTTTCTCCCACATTGCTGCCAAGTCCCCTTGAACTGGGGTGGTGGCTCTGCACCCCAATCACCTCATCTCCCTGCGAGGAGATCAAGCACCCTGCTCTTTCCTGCCACCAGTCGGCAGTGCCCAGGCCAGGGCTCAGATGGAGCAGCTGGGTCCCTCATTACCAGACCCCTCCCTAATCTCCTCGGCCTGTTGCCTGAAGGCCTCTAGCTGCCTCATGCTCCCTGGCCCTCCCTGTGGCGTGGAAATAGATCTGCTCGAGGATGGAGGAGTCTTGAGGTGGTTTCATCAGTCTCCTTCTTGCCCAGGGAAGTGGGGGGGGGGCGGCGGGGGAGTGCGGGGCGGGAACCTAGAGAAATGAAAGGCCCACTGAGACAGTCACAGGGACATGCCCAGCAGTGCTATTCTTACCCCACCGAGGATTTCCTTCCCTTCTCTGCCTGCCTCTCTGACTGACCCTGTGGGTGGGTGGGGAAGGGGGAGGGAGGGATAAGCGCACCCAAAGAAAGTTTCGCAAAGATACCTTTGGTCCTTAAATTTCTGCAGGATGGGCTGGGAAGGTGGTGCAGAGAAAGCATTCCTTTGGATTTAAGCCGTTGTCATTTATTGCTCCAGGTTGATTTGGGGCACTGTGGCCTCTCCTTATCATTTTTGTTGCTTGATGCAGAAATTGGAGACCTGGGGATTCTGTGTCCGTTCATCCTTCTCCGTCATGCGGCTCCATGCTGCCGTCTCATTGGCAGAGTTTGGTGCATGTTGGAGGCCCTCACTTATAGGCCCAGAGCTAATGTGTCCTTTTTTGAGAGACAAGGACGCAGGGGCACTGTCAGAAGGCCCTTTCCTCCCACAGCCCTAGGCTGGTATCGCCAGAAGGAAGTTGCATTCCTCTTTCCTTGAGCAGGCAGCCCACTGCTACCATCCACTGGTGAGACAGGGGAGAGAGTTCTGGGGTCTTGGGGAGAGAGCAGACCCCAGAAGTCTTTCCAGAGCCCTGCAGCCATGTCCCTCATTCCTAACTTATCACAGCTGGATGAGGCTGTAGGGAGCGTCTTGTCCCCTATTTTCCACATTGAGTTTATGCAGTGGTTGTCCAAGATGTGCTATGGATCCTCCCCTCCCCCAAACAGTCACACTCTTCCTAGTGGCCTGTGGGAATGCTGCAGTTTGGGAAATGCTGGTTTTGTCCCACACTGGGTGTTACAGTGAAGGTTAAATAGCAAGCTCATGGCAGGCCAGAGCTGGGATTCAGGTCTTTGCACTCCTCAGCCAGGGCATCCAGCTGACCAGTTGGTGAGGTCAGCTGCATAGGTGAGGAAGGGGTCCGACACTATGGCCATAGAGGAAGAGGGCTGTCTCTGTCTCTGTCTCTGTCTCTGAGGGACAAGGACAGGGCAAGGTACTACGCCTCCTGGCTGGAATGTGGGTGACAGCTGGGATGGGGTCTGCTTCTGTGGGATGCTAAGATGGAGCACCTTGGCTTCCTTCTGTCTCCTGAGCACATCCCTATTCCAAAGCCAAATCCAGACTTCCTATGGCACAGCTTTTACATGTAAGTGTTGCTCAAGTATGCAAAGCACATTGTGCAAATACTATGCCAAATCTCATCATTTTATGAATTTATATTTATTACATCTGTACTGGTCTTTAGGCATGGTAATAGGGGCATTCAGACTGACATTTTGTCCTTGGTGTGCTTATAGTCCAGTAGGGAGGATAAGGCCTCTTTCTTCTGGCAGTTGTACCTGTGCACATAGGACCCGAATCAGGGACATAGGGACCTACGGGGAGAGTGCGGTAGGCAGAAGTGAGGGGGTGGGTTAGCTTGAGCTGAGTGGATTAGGAAGTATTTAAGATGAGACATTGAGCTGGGCCTTGAAGAAAGTAGGATTCGGACATGGAAAGATGGCAGGAAGGGAATTCCATGTAAAGGGAACAGGCTGAGTTAACTTAGGGGATAAGAAGAACTTCTGGGGAGAATCAGGAAAAGGTACCATTGTTCTCTCTTGGAGAAGGTGGGCAGGTGGGAGTTGGGACTAGGAGAAATTGATTTGGAAGGCAAGGTTGGAGCCAAAGGGTAAAGGACCTTGAGTGATAGCCTGTGGAGGGAGCTATATTCTGTGGGCAGTGAGTAACCATGCGAGGTTTCAGGAAAATGCACCTCCATTTATTGGTAGGAAGGAGCAGATAGAGGGAAACTGACTGGCCAGCTGTATTGGGGAAACCAGTGACCTTGGGTGAGGGATGGGAGTAGGGGAAGAGCTAACTCAACAGAGCTGGGGGTGAATCAGCTTCTGAGCCAGGGGAGCCAGGGTGAGAGGGGAGCCCTGATGGGCTTTGGTTAGGCCATCGGAGGACCCATCTTCCCAGAAAAAGACACAGGGAGTGCAAGAGAAAAGGACAGATTGTAAAAGCTCAGTTTGGGTCATTGTGAATGTTGGGTGTCCATGGATGTTGGGATGGGCTATTTTATAGGGGTTAGAAAAGGAGGGTTGAGCTGGGTGTGGTAGTACACACCTGTATACCCAGTACTCTGAGAAGCTGAGGCAGAAGTTGCAACTTGGAACTTCCCAAGTTCCAACCCAGCTTGGGTGATTTAGCAAGACCCTGTCTCCAAATAAAAAATAAAATGGGGCTAAGAGTGTAGCTCAGTGAGAAGACCCTAGGTTCAATCCCCAATACTGTTTATAAAAAACAAGAGTGAGGCCAGATGTGGTGGTGCACGGCTATAATCCTAGCACTTGGGAGCTGAGGCAGGAGGATCACCATGAGTTTGAGGTCAGCCTGGGCTCTATAATGGGTTCAAGGCCAGCCTGAACTGCATGGGAAATCCTGTCTCCAAAACCAAACCGAACCAGACCAAACCAAACCAAACCAAACCAAACCAAACCAAACCAAACCAAACCAAACCAAACCAAAAATGGGATTGGATGAGCCTATGAGGAAAACCAGGCCTGTAAATCTTGAAATAAGATTCGTGTGCCTGATGATGAGAGTGAGGCAGAGGATGCAGGGGCTGTTGTAGGGAGGGGTGATGAGATATGAGGACTGGTCCTTGAAGAGAACTGGGCTCGAGGAGTAGGAAGAGCAAGATAGGGCATGAGCGTTAGAAAGATGGGGAGGGATCCAAGCAAAGACAGGCCTGGCAGCCCAGGGGAAAAGGGTGTCTTTTAGAGGAAGAGGTGGTCACCGGGATTAACTGTAA